TCTCCCCCCCACGGCCAGGCCACGACCCCCCCTACCCCCCCCCACGGCCAGGTCGCGCGCCCCCCCAACCCCCCCCCCACGGCCAGGCCGCGGCCCCCCTACCCCCCCCCCACACACGGCCAGGCCGCGGGCCCCCCTACCCCCCCCCCGCCACGGCCAGGCCGCGGGCCCCCCTCCCCCTCCCTCCCCCCCCCCCCCCCCCCCCCCGCACAGCCAGGCCTCCCCCGCCCCGCCCTTACTGACGCTGCCTCGGCTTCCCCGCAGGCTCCGGCAGCTGGACAGACACAGCCAGGCCGCCGCCCAGCAGCTGCTGCAGCTGCTCAACCAGCAGAACCGGCTCGTCCTGGAGCGGGGCGGCCCGGCCGGGCCGGAGGCCGAGGCGGAGCAGCGGCCCGGGCCGGGCGCCGCGGGCGCGCACAGGTGAGCTCCCTTCCTTTGCAGGGGTCTCCGCAGGGCCGACGCTGGGACGGGCCGACGCCGGGACGGGCGGAAGCCCCGCGGAGCGGAGCCCGCAGCCCGCCCGGAACCGGGAGTGTTGGAGAGGAGGCCGCTCGGTGACAGCACCCAACCCGGTCTCGGCCAAGTCGCTGCTGCTGCTGCTGCTTTTGCCGGTCGTGGGGCTTGAACTCGGCTTGGGCGCCGTCCCGCGCTCTTCAGCTCAAGCCAAGGCACCACTTCCGGTTTTCTGGTAGTTTATTGGAGATGAGTGTCAGCGACTTTCCTGCCCGGGCTGGCTTTGAACCGCGATCCTCAGATCTCAGCCTCCTGAGGAGCTGGATGACAGGCCTGAGCCACCTGAGCTCTGCTGTTGTTTTTACCGCAGCCGTCAGCCCGCACACACCGTCGGACGCACGCGCGTGCGGGGTGCGGCTCCATGCCCTAACTCCCGGCCGGCGGTGGCTCCACATGGGCCTCCCGACCTTCTAGAAGGTTCCCGGTTATTGAGCTAGCAGACAGGTTTTTACTTTATTTCTTCCACCGAGCACTGCACGGCGCCTGGTTCACGTGGAGCCGCGGGGCCGGGCGGGGCCGGGGGAGGGGGGTGGACCGGGGTCCGGCGCCCCCCCGCGGCCCCCAGCCCCGCTTCCCGGGGCACACTCTGCAATCAGACAAGTGAACGCTGCATGCGGCGCAGGCTGCGCCCCGCAGCCCCAAGTGCCAGTGCCGCCGCCCGGGAGCCCAGCCCCGGGAGACGCAGACGCCGCCTGTACCGAGGGGGCGCTGGCAGCGGTGGGGGGGGGGCGGAGGGCAGAGGAGGCGCTCGGCAGCGGTGGGGGGGCGGAGGGCAGAGGGGGCGCTCGGCAGCGATGGGGGGCGGAGGGGGCGCGGCGGCCAGGCCGCGGGCCTCACCCTCCGACTCTGCCCCGGGAGGCCCTGTGGCCGGAGCCTGAGCTGCACCCGGCCACGGCCCAGGCCGCGCCCTGCCTGTGCAGGCAGTGGGCACCCGCCACCTCTGGCGTCCCGGGAACAGGACAGGAGCTTCCAGAGAGCAGTGGGGCCAGCGCCGGCCTCTGCAGCTCTGGACCGTCGAGGACACTGAAGGTGGTGGCCGCGCTGCTGTAGACGCCACGGCCGGCCGCGGAGACCCTGCGCTCGGGCCGCGGAGACCCTGCGCTCGGGCCGCGGAGACCCTGCGCTCGGGCCGCCGAGACCCTGCGCTCGGGCCGCCGAGACCCTGCGCTCGGGCCGCAGAGACCCTGCACTCGGGCCGCGGAGACCCTGCGCTCGGGCCGCCGAGACCCTGCGCTCGGGCCGCGGAGACCCTGCGCTCGGGCCGCGGAGACCCTGCGCTCGGGCCGCCGAGACCCTGCGCTCGGGCCGCAGAGACCCTGCACTCGGGCCGCAGAGACCCTGCACTCGGGCCGCGGAGACCCTGTGCTCGGGCCGCGGAGACCCTGCGCTGGGGCCGCGGAGACCCTGGGCTCGGGCCGCGGAGATTCCCTACACTCGGGCCGCGGAGACTCCCTGTGCTCGGGCCGCGGAGACTCCCTGTGCTCGGGCCGCGGAGACTCCCTGTGTTTGGGCCGCGGAGACTCCCTGCATTCGGGCCGCGGAGACTCCCTGTGCTCGGGCCGCGGCTTGGGCCGCGGAGACTCCCTGTGCTCGGGCCGCGGCTCGGGCCGCGGAGACTCCCTGTGCTTGGGCCGCGGAGATCCTGCCCATGGGCTGCAGAGGCCCTGCACTCGGGCGCACAGAGGGGATGAGAACTACCCTGAAGGCCGAGGAGGAGGCAGCCCGGGCCACACACGAAACCAGCAGAAACGGGCAGCGCAATCCGAGGGCTGGGCCGCCGCGGGGAGAGGTCCAGCCGGCAGCCTCCACTGAGGTGGGGCCCCCTGCCCCGCGCACCAAGGGCTGCAGGAGGCCGAGGCCTGGACGATGGTGGCCGGACTCCAGCCGCAGCGCAGTGGCTCTGGCCCTCCAGGCCCGGCGGCCAGCATGACCGACGGCTAGCATGACCGGTGGCCCTGGTCCGGCGTCTGCTGCTGTGGAGACCGCGGTGCTGAGCTGTGCCAGGGTGGATGGCGCCCGGCAGAGCAGCTCGGTGACCCTGCGAGGACAGGGCGGCCCGCGCGGGGGACCCTGGGCGGCCCAGGAACCTGCAGGGCCGCGTCCTGCGCCCCGCAGAGTAGGCTGCAGGGAAGGGAGCGGTGCGGGGCGATGGTGATAACGGTGAGGATGAGGCCTAGGATGGCGACGGTGAGGAGGCTGCAGTAATGGTGACCATGAGGATGGCGAGGTGGTGGTGACGACACCGGGCTGGCGGGCGCCTTGCGGCCCGGGGACGGCAGGATGACAGGCCTGTCCTGGAGCTGGGCTGTTTCCCAGGGGTGTCGGGGACTCGCCACACGCCTGCTTTCTGCCACAGGCACTTTGACGGTGACAGACGCCTCCGAGTCACCTTTGCCTTGAACCGGTCAGCCCAGACCCTGGGCAGAGCCTCCTGCCCCTGGTTGATGGGGGGAGAGGAGGAAGGGGAGGAGAGGAGGGGGAGGAAGGGGTGCTCTGCGCTTGCTGGCTCTGCTGCAGAGCCGAGGAACGGGGCTGGGCTGGGCGGGTAGGACTTGGACACATCCAGTGGCCGGGAGGGTCCCCACCAGGCCTGGGCGCTGCGTGGACCCATGCCACCAGTCACCGTGTCCACCCATCTGTCTGAGGCCGTAGCCTCTGTCCACATCTGCGCCTCGTCCACGGTCTGCACGTGCAGGTCTCTGACAAAGGGACCGGGCGGAGGCCACGCGTGGCCTTACCAGACCCAGGTCCTCTCCTGACGATGGTGGCAGCCAGGCCGGAGCTCTGTGCCTTCCCAGGGCTGCCCACCCGTGCGGCGGCCCCGCGGCAGTCCTGCGGCTCGGCTTGAGGTGATTAAGCTGGTTAAAACTAGGCCTGGGGAGTTCAGGGGAGCGCTTGGCCTGCACTTTCCACCTTCACCCACTGTAACAGATCCCGACCCAACCCGCGTCGTCTTCGCGGGAGTGGGGACAGGCCGCTGGCCGCTGTCCAGCAGAGCCGCGCACCCGGATCCAGGCTGTGGGGCTGAGCATCCGGACCTTGCTGCCGACCTCCGTTTCACGCCCGGCCCCAGCCCGCACAGCCGGGAGGGGGCGCCGCGGGGAGGGGGGGCGGGAGGAGCAGTGGCGGGGCTGGAACTCAGGGCCTCAAACTTAATCTTTCCACATTTTTAACCACCACAAAGTTTCCCCCTAAAACTAATGATAAACGTGACTAAGCCAGCAAATGAGAAGACGTACCCGTGATCTACTTAAACTTACTTTTTATTATCATTTTTCCAGTTACCCAGCATGCCACAATCTGATTGCCGACCTGGATGAAACAGTGAAATAAATGATTTACAGAGAGATATTTACATTCATCCGATTGGTACTTCACACACCACCACGCTGCGGCCATGGCAGGCTGACACCGGACTGCAGCGCGGCGTCCCCAGGCCGCCGGCTCCCCGTACTGTGAGCCAGCCCGAGCTGGAGTCCGAGCCAGGGAGAAGAGCTCGCGGGGGCCCTGCAAATGGCTCGCGTGACCGTTCTTAAGCCCGCTTCTGTACGCTAAGTCACAGGCAGGAATCTGATTAAATGATCTTTGTTAAAGCCTTGAATTGTAACGTTTCCTTTTTACCTTGTAGTAGTGAACAGAACACCAAAAAGGCACATGTTTCAACCAGGTGTGTCAAGGACCAAACTTTTCCTCCTGCCATTGGGTTTCCATTCCTGCTGGGTTACCTGCCGTGACACACGTCCAGCAGCCACCCGCGCCCAGGGCGCGCTCGGGGCACGCTTGGGACGGCGCTCGGGGCGCTCGTGGCGCAGGCGCTCTAACTTCCACTCTGTGAACAGATTAAAAAAAAAAAAGCATCTTTGGCTCACTAGTGTCAGATTTTTTCCAGTAGCAAGGATTTGAGACGAGCCTAAAAATGTACACAGTGAAGTTAGAAAACTCAGCCTCCCAAATGTCCTCGCGGAGACGAGCGTGTTTAGTCTACGCGGTCGGCTCTCGGGCAGCGCACGGCCGGCCCCTCTCCAACCGACCGACGCGGCCCTCCGCGGCCCGCACCCCCGGGCAGAGGCCCGGCCGGACGCCAGGGCTAGGGCCGTCACAGCGGTTCCCGCGATCCTCCCTTCTGGCTTAGTACACCTCGGATAAAGTACAGTGTTGTGAAGATAGCACCTTTGAAGGATGATGGAGGTCATTTACGCCAGCTCCGGGGAGCGGCTGAGGACGGCCCAGCGGATGTCCCCACGCGGTGTGTGGCCGGCGCAGGCGCGCCTAGCCCGGCCCCTGGACGCCGAGTCCCACCCATCCCCGTCGGGAACGCTGCGGGGCCAGAAGACCATGAAGATGAGCGGCCCGGGCCCGCCCCCGGGGTCTGAGGCCCCGCACGACCCCATCACGCACAGCTCAGCGCCTCTGGCCCTCAGGAGACGCCCGGTGTTCCGGGCGGCGGGGCCGACGCCCCACCCAGCAACCACCACAGGAGGCGCAGGTTGACATAGTGCTTTATTCACGCTGCGGTACGAAGGGGAGAGTGCACCTCACGTCCCTGTGCAGAGACGAAGGCAGGGTGTCGTGTACAAACAGTGCGTGTCGCCCGCGCACGCCCCGGGTCCCAGGCCCCGAGGAGAGGCCGGCGGAGTGGGGGTGTCTCGGGGTCGCCCCAGCCGGAGGCTCCACCGCGTGGACCTCGCGCGAGAGGCGCCCGGGCTGGGGAGGCGACTCCGCGGGGCCCTTCGTAAAATAAATACTTTACATTTCATGCTCGCCCGCGGGCGGTGCGGGGCGGTGCGGTGCACGGCGGCGGGAGCGGTGCACGGCGGGAGCGGGGAGCGGGGTCGGCTCCTCGGCCCCAAGGCAGGGGGGCTGGGCTTGTGGGACGCGGCGGGCGAGGCCTGGAAGCAACACTGGGCCGCGGGGAGTGGGTGAGGGCGCAGGGGCCGCCCGCCTCCCGCCTCCCAGCAGGGCTCGGCTCGGCCCCCACACCCCGGTGTCTGCCCCGCCTCCGAGGCCGGACGCGGAGAGCTGGCCGGGCCTGGTGACACCCGGAGCCGGGGCGCCCTGCGGCCTTAGGACCGCCCTTGGCCAGGGTCCGGGAAGTCACGGCGATTGGGAGAGGGAAACAGCAGGAAGCCACGTCCCGCAGCGGGAAGGAGGGAGATGACTAAGGGCCGCGGGACCTCGAGCGAAGGTGACGGGCGTGTGACCGGCGGAAGGCCTGGACCCGCGGCCGCGGCCGCCACCGCCAGCAGTGGTCCTGGAGCCTCCCACCCCCCGCGGCCCACGGCCGCCGGGCCGCTCCGACTCCGGTCGGCTTTGGAAAGGGCTCCTAGCACCGAAGGCTGTGAGGTGGGGACCGCCTCGCCCGTCCGCGCGTCCCAGAAGCGCCGCGGGCGCCGCGCTGCCTCCCGCTTTTGGCCTTGTGAGGCCGCTCCGCCTCCTCCGCTCGGCTGGGCAGGCGCACGCCGGGGCCTCACTAACATAAATACTACCGACGGGAGCGGGAGCGGGAGCGGGAGCGGGAGCGGGGCGCAGGGGTCGGCATCCCGAGGACGCGCGCAGGGCCGGCGCTGTCACCGCGGCACGCGGCCCGGTGAGGGCAGGGCCGGCGCCGCCCACCTTCCGAGGCCACGTCAGCTGCACGAGGCGGAGGCGCGCGAGCCGGCCTCGCACGGCCCCGCCACGGGCCCCGCAGGCTCTTAGGAGCGCCCCGCCCGATCGGGCGAGTGGGCTCAACGCGGGCACCCGCGCTCACCGTCCTTCCACAACGGCTGCTTTGAAATATGAACTACATCTTCGTCGTCTAATTAGTTAATTTATCTTCTAGAAAGTTAAAAAGTGTACCTAGAATCAGTGCGTCTCGTGGAGCCTTCACCGCAGGGAGACGCGAAAACTCCGAGACCGAACGAGAACCGGTGCACGAATGAACGAGGGCGGCTCATGACTCCCGAAGACGGAACTTACTTCTCGAAGTTGCTATCATAGTGAGACAGTAGCAGCAACAGCATGAGACCTTGGACTGAAATACAATTTCATGCAAAAACAAAACCTGGAGAGTGTGCGTGTGCGTGTGTGCGCGTGTTCACGGGGCGACGGTGGCGCGGTGGAGACCTGGGCGGGCGGGTGGCGCCGCCCCGCTGTCCGGAACGGCGAGACTGGCGACAGGTCCAGGATTGTGTCCAGTAAGAAACCGAGGGTGACGGGGAAGCAGCAGGATGGAGGAGGCCTATTCCCGGCCGCTGGCCGAGTAGGAGAACTGCGGGAAGTGTGGCCGCCGCTCGTTGTCCACGCCGTCCATGCCGTCCTCGTCATCTGCGGAGGCAAACAGCCGCGTCAGCACACTGCCCGCCCCGCGCACAGGCCCGCACCACACCGATCACCACGCTCGGCGAGGCTGCCGACGTGACAAGCCGCGGGAAACTGCTCTTACCACCGAAAGAAACCGCATCTTGGTCTTTAGAAGCCACTGATTCCAGAGAACCCACGCCTACACGCCACACGTCTTTAAGTATTTGTAGTTTTTTTTGGGGGGTCCGGTCGTGGGGCCCGAACTCTGGGCCTGGGCGCTGTCCCTCAGCTCTTCAGCTCAAGGCTAGCGCTCTACCCCTTGAGCCACAGCGCCACTTCCGGCTTTTTTCTTTTTGCTTATGTGGTGCTGAGGAATCGAACCCAGGGCCTCATGCATGCAAGGCAAGCGCTCTACCACTGAGCCACCTTCCCAGCCCCTTGTAGTTGTTTTTTATTGGTGCAAGAATCCAGTTTCCTGGGCAATTTTATCTAAACATCTTCCTTTACACCCTGTTGTGTTTTCCTATGAGGCTTCGAGCCCACCCCTCCAGTGGTCACGTGACTGTGCCTCCCTCCGGCTGTCGGTTCTAGGCTGGGGCCACACGTCCGGTCCCTCGGTCCACCCAGCCCCGCCTCCCCTGACCTCTGCTCCTTCCTGCGCATACCCCATCACCTCAAATCCTTCTTCGTTTCCAATACCCCCGCGCCCCCGGTGCGCAGAGCAGCTGCGGCTGCAGCTCTCAGCAGCAGCCTCTGCAGGGCCTGGGCTCCAGGCGCAGCCCCGCCGCGCTGCCCCCTCTCGGGAAGGGTTTCGTGCTCTCCCTCCTGTCTCCCATGTTCTTCTGCATGCGGAGTGCTTCCGAGATGGGCCCGCGTGCGTGCACCCAACCCTGTGGCCTCGCCGAGCGGAGCCCCGCGTGCGTGTGTGCGTGCGTGCATGGGGAGCAGGCCCGCAGGGCGCCTTTCCGCACCACCACTCTTGGAGGTGCGTTTCCTCTGTGGAGGCCTGGCCGAGGAGTGGGCAGCACAGACAAGGCCCCCCGGGCTTCCGGTCCGGATTCGGGCGCGCGCCAATCACGTGCCACAGGGCAGTGTGCGCCCGCAGTTGCTTCGCTGTCTCTGTGCGGCAAGCACGCGGCGGCGCGCGGGAACCCGGACCGGCTGTCCGCAGGGCGCAGGGCTTCTGGGAGGGGGGAGGGCGGAGGGGGGAGGGAGGGAAGGGGGATCCCCGGGGGGAGGGGGGAGGAGATACTACCATCAAGGAAGACAGCCTTCACCCTCTGGCTGGAGCGCGCCCTCCCAGGTGTGAACCGGGCCAGGGTGAATCACCAGGATGGCCCTGCTCGGCTGGAGGCCTTTGTTCCGCCAGGGGCCGTCGCTGCCTAGAACATCTCATGCAGGACACACGTAATTACCGGCAAGGCGCTGGACAGCGGAGGGACGCCTATGCGGAGCGCGTGTCTGCCCGTCCGCGGCCTCCTGGGCCAGGCTCGGCGGCTCCTCAGGCTCCGTTGGGAGTGAGGAGGGCGGGAGCTGAGGCTGGGAGGAACCTGGGGCCGGCGGGGCGGACTGGGCCGGGCAGCGCGGGCCAGGCAAGGACGGCAGAGCTGCGTCCAGCCCCGCGCACGCGCCGATTCCCGATCCTGGCCCAGCGCATGCGCGGATCCCCGGCGGTCAAGCCACCAGAGCTGGGGGAAGCCCCCTCTGTGGAGGACGGCAAGGACGTGCATCTAACAAGAGCCCCGTCCGCAGTCGCCCAGCGAATGAGCACCAGGGAGGACACGTGGGGTCCCGGCCGCCGCCCGTGAAAGCGGCACAGTTCGCTTTCCTTTTGTAACTGCTGGTGTGTTCTAGAACACCTGGGCCCCGCTCTGGGTGGCCGAGGTGTTGAGGGAGGCCCGGCCGGGGCGGCGCCCAGGGCCCGGCGGGGCCTAGAGCCTCCCCTGAGGGCCCAGCGCTGTAGTCCGGAGGCGGAGAGGTGAGGATGGCGGTTCAAAGCCAGCCTGGGCCGGAAGACTCGGGTCTGACGAACCATCCAAACCTGAGAAGGGGCCGAGGCTCCACTTCCGGTGGCAGGCGCCTCCCTCGAGGGAAAGCACTGGCGGGCTGCACCCGGGCGGCGATCGGCCTTCGCGGGCTCCTCGGCGCCGCCCGGCCAGGGCCGGCCCGGCTGCGGCTTAGCCGGCCTTGCACAGGGACGCCTTCGGGCAGGTTTCTGTGGCTGATTACATTCTACACTTCAGTCTCATCCCAAACTTTCAGACCGGACTAACAAGGCAGACTCAGCCTGGGTTTAGCGGCAGAGCACTTGCCTGGCACGCTCGGGGCTGGGGCCTGGTGTGTGCGTGTCCACGCGTGCGCGCGGGGGCTGGGGGGGCTGTGGGCCGAACTGGCTCGGGGGCCTGACATCCGAGGCCATCTCAGAACCACTGGCAGCTAGGCAGCGCTCCTAAGCGGTGACACCGGCGGGCGGAGGCCTTCCCAGCCCCGGCTCCGGTCAGTCTCTTCCCCACGGCGAACTCGCGCACCCGCACTGGCCTTGTGGCCGGGCGGGGCTGGAGCTGGCTGTCACGTCCAGCTGACCCCATCACAACCCACTCTGAGGACAGCTAGCGGGGAGGTCAGGAAGCAGCTCCCTGGCCAGATCCCAGGGCTTTTCATGTCTCCCACACTGAGATTTTGCTTTTAACTTTCTGACATAGTTATCTGCTCACAGCTGAACATACAGTGCCCACCGACTTCTATGACTCCACAATAACATGTTCTGCTGTCCTAAAAAACCAAGCCCGAAAACCCCAAAGCTGTTTAAGAAAGGACATTGGAAGAGGCTAAGCGGGGGTGAGAGACCTTCTAACCAAGCTTGGCAGACAAGCTCATGAGTTCAGGGGAGCCTGAGCTATTTATTTAGCAAGACCCTCCTAAAAAACATGACCACCGTATCCCAAAGTGCACTGGGGAAGCTCAGCAGGAGCCAGGGCGGCACCTGCGCAGAGGGGGCCCTGGCCCTCCACTCCTATCACTTGTTTACGGATTCTTGAACATCTGCCCCAGGAAAGGATAGGGGCTATGCCATGGTCAGTGACACAAGAGCCTTTCTCTTACATGCTGCTGTGTTCTAGTAGAATAGAAAACATACAACCTGAAATGTACTGGCAAGTACAGGAGTTCACTTAAGAGGACCAAGAGTCAAGGGCGTGGTCAGACTGTATTGTCCCTAGGACTAGAAGGTCAAAGGCAGCGCTCTGAAAAAGTGATGGCCATCCACACAAATACACAGGACAAGGAGCATTCTAGGCTGCGGAACAGCAAATACTGAAGTTTAAGGCACATGGAGTCATGGCATGTCCATGGTGTAGCTGGAACACAGGATGGGAACAAACGGGACCAGGAAAGGCAAGCAAGCTGGACACGATGTGAGCAGGCCAGGGAGCCAGAGTGACAGGTGCAGACATGCAGCGCCTCAGACGCATCTGGAAGGCTTTAGACCAAGAATGACGGTCTGATTACAACCAGTATCATATCCAAATGGCAGAGCCCAGCAAAGAGCTGGCAGGGAGAGCTGACCAGCGCTGACCTGGCTCCGTGCTGGGGCCTAGTCAAGGCCCATACCCATCATCCACGCCTTTGGCTACTTCCTTACAACTCCACCATTTCTGATTGTCACTCTGGAACTCTATCAATGGCACACACTGCCCTTTCAACACATTGACACCAAGAACTCAGCAGGCACCAGCCCAGGCGGTGGGCTGGCCTCCCAGCTGAGGCTGGCCTGATGTGTGGAACCTCAGAACAGCTCAAGTTCTCTTTGGGCTTCAATTTCTTCACTTTTGAGCTGAAAGGTAATAGGTTCTTTTTTTGGATTAAAAAAAGCAAAGAAAGAGACAAGCACTTTGTCTTCAATTTCACAGTACATATAATCTCCTTGTTGCCAGGGTACAGACCCAGATTAAAAACTCTTATGAACTAAGCTGGTGGCTGACCCCTATAATCCTAGCTACTCTAGAAACTGAGATCGAGGTTTGAAGCCACCTTGGGCAGACAAATCCAATTAACTAGAAAGACGTCTGGACTTGAGGTGTGGCTCAAGTATAGCCAGCATGAGTAAGAACAAGAGTGGCTAGCCCTGGGTTCAAGACCCAGTACCAACACAAAAACAACAAACTCCTAGTTCATGTTTTGACAATAAAATCAGTGGAGGAAGATGACTGAGGGGACAGTATTTCACTCCCATCTCCCCTTTCACAGACAGCGCAAGTGACTACTAACTTAAGCAGAAGAAAACACAAAGTACAGAAACACTAACATGAGCTGGGCAATGGTGACGCATGACTGTAACCCCTGCTGGTTGTGAGGTGGAGGTTTGAGAACTCAAAGTTCAAGGCCAGTCCTGAGCCCAGGCCAAAATGGCACGAACAAAAAGAAATGAGGGTAAGGTCAAAGTGATAAAACACTTGCCTAGTAAGCTCAAGGCCCTGGGTTCAATCCCCAGCTCCACAGAAACAAACAAAAAACACGCTAATATGAGCCTAGTATGTGTGTACCTTGAAGAACTCCTCTAACTATCCAAAGAGCTCTCTAGTCTCAATCCTGTCCGCATTCCTCCATCAGCACGACATGTGTCAGCGTGGATGCACTGCAGCTGAGAACGACTTGCATGTGTCAGTGTGGATGCACTACAGCCGGGAATGGCTTGCTTTCACCAAATCCCACTTGCTTATGCCATTTCTCAAATTGGGGGCACATGTTATGTGGGATGATTTGAGGATCTGAATGAATATATAGTTTAATAAATTTGTACTTCAATGTATGTGTACCAAGTACTAACAGCAAACGAAATTATGTTTTCACGGATATAGGTACTTAAGAAAAAGTCAGTTAAAAGGAATAATGCAACTTAAAGTGAACTCAAACTTCTAAGTAAGTAGAGAGGGGGCAGATGGCTGATGGCGTGTGAAAGAGCGGGGCCTGTGATGGGGCATCTCCTGACTCAAATCTTCTCAGCTGAGTCTGAAGAATCTACTGTAGAGTAGTGAGAAAGGACTAGTTACTCTGTAATTTGGTTTATAAGTTTTCACATGTGGTTTTTCTGATCCAGAGAAGCTTCTCTGCGTCACCTCTGCTATTTCCTCTTAGTTGTAATTTTAAAACAGAATGAATGCGCATCAGCGTGGGCTCTGTCTTGGGATCGAATGCGGCTGGGGAGTCACTTACATCTCTCAGGCGGCGTTATGGTGATGGTCTGTGCTGTAAACTCCTCGTCGAAACACCTGGTGTCCGTCTCAGAGGTTACTTGAGGCTTAAAAGGAGGCACGAGCTGCAAGAAGGGAGAAAGAGCACTGTTAAGTGATTTCAATTCAGAAAGCTTCACTTCTAGGGAAAAATCTGAGTGTGAGCAGCAAGGTGCACAGGGCCGAAGACCAGGAGACAGAGTCACCAAGTGCCCGTGAGGACAGAGGCATTCGGTGTCTCCAGTCAAGTCTACAGGCAGAATGGGAGTGCTTGGTTATTGAGCATGAGGCTGGAGATGTCAGGTGAAATGGGACACAGCAGGAGAACTAAAAACTAGGGTGAGAGGGCCAAACTGAAAGAAAGCTGCGCCGCTCTTCTCTGGTGGCAAGCAGACAGCAGCATCCTGCGGAGGCAGCCAGGCCAGTGCAGTACACAGACTCAGAACCATTACAGGAGCTTCCAGCTTTTTCTGTGTTTTTAACTGGAGGTAAGAGTTTCACTGACTTTTCTGTCTGAGCTGGCATCAAAACACAATCTTCAGATCTCAGTCTCCTGAGTAGATAGGATTCCAGGAGTGAGCCCCCAGTGTCCAGCTGAGAGAGAACTTTTTAAATGAGGGATACTTCCATTTCCTGGAGTTCATTTTGATAAATATTATATGATCAGAAGCACTTAAGCACTGTGCCTTTGTGTTCCTCCCCTAAAAGTATCCTCCTTTGGTCCTACTGTGTGTGAACGCCTAGAGTCCTGTATAATTTATCATGTCTCTGTGCATTTTAGATCTAGCTTCCACATATGAGAGAAAGCATGCTCTATTTGTCTCTCTGAGCTTGGCTTGCTTCACTTAACATGATTTGTTCTAGGTCCATCTGTTTCCTTGTAAATGACATAATATTATTCTTTCTAATGGCTGTATAAATTCCTTTGTATATAGGTACCACATTTTTTGGATTCCCTAGTGTATTGTAGGGCCTCTGGGCTGTTTGTATAACTTGGCTATTGTGAAGAGTGCAGCAGTGAGCACGGATGTGCAAATGTCTTTATGGTATCCTGGCTTGTGTTGCTCTGGGTAGATGCCCAGGAGTGTATGGCTAGGTCATAGGGAAGATCTATGTTTAGCTGGAACCTCCAGACTGTTCAGAGTGGTTGTACCAGTTTACATCCCTAGCAGCAGTGCAGTAGGATTTCTTTTCCCCACATCCCCGCCAGCATTTGTGGTTATTAGATTTCAAGATGTTGGCCAGTCTTAACTAGGGTGAGATAGAAGAGGCTCAGGGACAGCACCCAGGCTGAGTTCAAGCCACAGGACCAGCAAAGAAAAAAAATCTCTCATTTTCTCAATGCCTTTATCAGTTTTCAGTGTTTAGTGGAACTAGAGCTCATGCTGGGCCATAAGGGAAGACAAAAAAAAAAATGGCATCAATCTTACTAGCTCAGACCTTGCAGTGAGAATCATGCAAAAGCTAGGATGCTGGTCACAGAGTGAAACCCACACCACAGGACAACCACTGAAGGCAAAGTTAATGAGAACATGTGAATATCCCACAAAGCCACTTTGCTTCTACCCTCCAAATCTTCCAAGAATATCACATAGCAAATTTTCCAGTTCTGGGAAATGTAGCTTAGTCTAGTCAAATGGACATGTTATCCATTAGATATATGTATGTGTATATATACATATATACACATGTATATATACATATATACACGTGTATATATAATACATGTATACTCATACACTATATACAACACACACACACACACACACACACACACACACACACACACACAAAGTTCCAATTTAGACTCGGACAGAGATGAGATCACATATACTTAAGTATTAAATTAACGTCATTAAGATCTGGAAGATTCACCTATAGAATGGGAGAAAGTATGTGGAAAGTATTCATCTGACAAAGTATTAGCATCCAGAACATATGAGGAATTAAAAAACAGTAGCAACAGCCCCTCGAGTAAGCTCATTTGAAAATGGGAAAGCTTGGAACAGACATGTCTGAAAAGATGCATGCATGATCAGCACAATCAGGAGAAAGTATCCAGTCTCACTAGCCACCAAGGAGATGCAAAGTGAAGACACCATCAAACACTAGCTCTTACCAAAACTGTTTGGAAAACAGTATGGAGAATCCTTGAAAAATTAACAGAATTAACATAGGACCCAGAAATCACGTTGCTGGTTATATACCCAGAGGAAATGAAACAATTTCAGTGATAGCTATGCTATTTGGTTAGTATGGAATCAACAAAAGTTTCTATTGGCAGATGAATGGATAACAAAAACATGGTGTGTATGTGTGATGTATGTACATATGTGTATATATATTACTATTATATATATATATATATCTTAAACCATAACAGAAGAATGGAGTCCTACTGTTTGTGACAATGTGGATGAGGTTGGAGAATATTAAGTTAAATATATCAGATACAAAAAGATCAATAGTAATGTTTATTCTTTATGTATAGAAGCTAAGAATGCTAATTTCAGGAAGAGCAGACCAGTGACAAGGAAGCAGACCAGGCCAGGTACCAGTGGCCCATGCCTGTAATCCTAGGTACGCAGGAGGCTGAGATCTAAGGATCATGGTTCAAAGCCAGCCTAGGCAGGAAAGTCTGCGAGACTTTTATCTCCAATTAACCATCAGAAAATTGGAAGTGGAGCTATGGCTCAAAATGGTAGAGGGCTAGCCTTGAGCAGAAAAGCTCAGGTATAGTGCCCAAGCCCTGAGTTCAAGCTCCACAACCAACAGAAAAAAAAGAAACTAGGAATGGTAGAAGATGGAAGGAGAGAGGAGGCTGGGTGAGGAGTACTGAAGCACATTTCCTGAGGAGGAGTGAGTTCAGTAATCTGCTGGGCACTCTGACTTCATCATTACACATTGTACACATGTACTGATACCACACTGGGTCCCATAAATATGTGCAACTGCTATATGTCAATCAAAAGAAAGTACTGAACACTTCCATAACTCTCACCTGTCAAGTAAAATTGTTACTTTTCCTATTTTTTTTTTTTTTTTGAGTCCAGTCGTGGGGCCTGAACTCTGGGCCTGGGTGCTGTCCCTCAGCTCTTCGCTCAAGGCTAGCGCTCTACCACTTGAGCCACAGCACCACTTCCAGCTTTTTTCTTTTTGCTTATGTGGTGCTGAGGAATGGAACCCAGGGCCTCATGCATGCAAGGCAAGTGCTCTACCACTGAGCCACCTTCCCAGCCCCACTTCTCCTATTCTTAAACTAACAGATAAAAAAGAAAGTTGAACATAAGTCTGAATAGATTCAGTGATTATAGTATATGTAAAAGTAAAATCAATGATGACAATGTTTTAAGAGATAGGAGAGAGAAAATGGATATACTTTTATACATTATTGGCACTATCTGTGAAACAGCATGGTTTATTTAGAAAATGACTTGGAGTTAGTTATAAATGTGTGTTTCAAACTCAAGGATAAGCAGTTAAAAATATACCTGAGAAAGAAGTATAACTGATATAGTTGACATGCTATGAGAAGGCAAAGATACTGTCTGATAAAATCTTCAGTTAAGAGCAGAGGAGCACATGACACAAAGAACTATGAGTAAATAGGAATAAACTTAGTAGATACCAAACCAATTGTGCCAATAATCACTTTAAAGGTCAACAGGCTAAAACATACCAAGTAAAAAGGACTCTGAGTGGACTGGAAAAAAAAAATCCAACATCCAATTACACTATGCATAACTAACCCATTTCATACATGAAACAGAACAAAAAAATGGAATGAAGGTATATTCTACAATCAAAAGAAAGTTGAAGTAGCTACATTAAGACAAAAAAGATTTGACAGCAAGGAATATTGTCAAAGACAGATAATCTGCCCAGTTGGACCAGTCCTCCAGGGAGACAGCAATCTGAAATGTCACGTGTCTAACAGTAGAAACAAGAGAAATGGAGAAATCCATGAATATAGCTGGGGTCAGGAACTCATGCAGTGGGCTGAAAAAATTGGTTCTAGATATAATTAAGCTGAACAGCACCATCAATCTATCAGAGCTAATCAACACTTATAGAGTATTTTATGCAATAATAGCATAATTCACAATCCTCCAGCTCACACCAAACATTACCAATAGAGACTTTCTTTTATGGGCAGTAAAATACATTTCAACACATTGAAAAGAATAGCTATTGTATAAAAGTATGCTCCTAGACCACAATGAGGCACACTGGAAACATAACAGTATTGTCATCTGTGTCTGGAAACACATAACAGTACTGTCATCTATGTCCAATACTGAAATCTACTTAGACCCAAAATATTGTTGCAGGTTTTTGACACTTGATTATTACATCCCTTTATTTTTTCTAGTTTGCATTGCAAATTTGTTTAGATGAGATTGTGTGTGTGTGTGTGTGTATGTGTGTGCGCGCGCTTGTGCACACCAGTCCCGGGGCTTGAACTCAAGGTCTAGGTTCTGTCCCTGAACTTTTTTACTCAAGGCTAGCACTCTACCACTTGGAGCCACAGTTCCACTTCTTCTTTTTTTTTTTTTGGTGGCTAATTGGAGATAAGAGGTTTGCTCACAGACTTTTCTGCCTGAGTTGGCTTCAAACCAAGATTCCCAGATCTCAGCCTCCCAAGTAGCTAGGATTAAAGGTGTGAGCCACCAGTGCCAGGTGTAGGTGAGATTCTTTTAAAGAACCATGTAGGTATATTTTGCTTTGAACCCAATTTGAAGGCATTTTTCAAAGCTCATACTATTTACATTTCATGACATAGCTGTTAGTTTTGACATTTATCTGTGTTTTTTTATATTTTAAGTAAAATACCTTATCAAAAGAAGACACTAGTTACAATGTTTAACCATCAGATGTCTAGACTACAATTTTGATCTGACACTCTTATCTTTGAATTAAATTTTAAAGAGCCATCATTTGAGTGTGATAAGAAATATTATGATGCTACCAGGAAACCAATGTTTAGACCTTTATTTCTCTTTTCTGCTAGTGTTCCCATTATGTGAGTACAACACAACCATTAGCGTCTGCAACAGCAGCCATCAACAACCAAACAACATAAAAT